CATACAAAAACCTAAATGCAAATGTTTATAGGAATTCTATTCTTATCAGCTGACACCTGCAAATAGCCCAGATATCAACTGGCGAATGGATAAACAAATTGTGATACATCCATAAACTAAATACTAGAAAGCAATAAAAAGAAACATGTTACTAATACATGCAACATGTTACTGATGGATGAAATCTCAAAAGCAATATGCAAAGTGAAAGAAGCCACTTACAAAAGGCTACAGGTATGCTGTGTGATTTCATTCATAGGACACTCTGGAGAGGCAGAGCTACAGGGGCAATCAGGTCACTGGGCGCCAGTGACTGGGAGAGGAGGAGGGGAGTGACTACAAAGGAGCAAGCGAAAACTTCTTGGTGAGGGAAATATTCTGCATCTAGATTCTGGTGGTAGTCATCCAGTTGTATACATTTGTCAAAATGTACTCAACCACATCTAAAAAGAGTGTATCTTACCATGTGTAAATTTTACCTCAAAATCCAACTTTAAAATAACGTTTTTACATCTTTCAAAGATCTCCACCATTACGTCCCCAGCAAATAGGCATGTCTGTCTGCAGTCCAAGTTAGCTTTGAATAGTACAATACTGTATATGGTAAATTCCTATTTATGAAAAGCCTTACTATCCTCATAGCTATTAATATAGCATTTTTATTTAATCCTCTGGAATAAAAAATTCCCTAACATATTTTAGATATTTTCTGCTTTCTTAAACAAATAAACTGATTTTAATTATTTAATGGTGATCCTGGGCCATATTTGCTCACCCAATAATGAACAGTCAATGGATATTTATTTTACTGTATGTTCATTCTAGGCCAAGCACTATGCCAGCTGTAAGAGATTAAAAATAATAATCCAGTGAAGTGGGTAGAGCTGCTTGCAGAAAACTGAAGAGTCTCAACTGATGTTTCATTTCTGAATTCTTCTCTCACTTTTTCATAGGCTGTATTTTTTAGAGTCCTTGGTTGTCAGTGTTTTGTTCTTACAGTCAGTACAGATCAGCCTTCATACAGTCAGTAAACATTCATTTCCCCCACTCTCTTACGGTGGGGTTCTGTTTAAGGCAGCATTTCCCAGAAGGTGTTGTAAAGAACAGCAGTTCCGTTCTCACAGAAGACAATCAGTGTAAAATAAACTTTTGACATTGCGCTAACCTTCTTGGGGATTGTGTTCACTATTAGCATATTAAAGGCTTTACTAAGAACAGTAATAAACAACCTTTTACATTTTGTGTAACCTGGAATTTCTCAAACTTATTTTACTACCTCATTCTGCTTTCTTCACATTAACAAGCATAACCAAAAATACTAGGGTTTCAATGTGTTGTGAAAAGTAATGGGCTTAAATATCAAATAATTTTTTAGGATGATTATTTACTTATTCACTCAACAAAATACAATATAAAACAGATAATATGTGTCAGCATGGGTGATACAATAATGAATAAGACAGAAAATTCCCTGTTCATGTAAACCTCTGTCTTTCTTGAGGCAGAAAGACAAAAAACAAGCCTTAGACCAAAAAAAAAGAGACAAACATGCTGGTTAAAGAAAAGGGGTAACATAATACTGCAATGGTGCACTATTAAATAGTCGGGACAAGCTGCACGGAGCAGGTAATAGCTGAGATGAGACCCTAATGACTAGAAGAAACCAACCAGAAGACATGGGATGGGGCAGAGCTTTCCGAACAAGGGCTGAACGAGCAGAAAAGCACAGCCAGTATGAGGGAATAAGTGTACAGGATGAGATTAGAGGAAGGTCAAGGTAGGGCCAGGTCAAGATCATGTGGTTCCTCATGAGCTTTCCAGAGGGAGTGGAATACCACCTGGCAGGTTCTGAGCAGGGAGTGACATGACGTGATTTACACTGTAAAAAGTTGTCTCTGGAGAGGCTGGTTTGTGGAGGGGCAACAGCAGACAGAAGAGCAGAGGAAGCACTTGAGGAAGAGCCAACAGGACTCGAATGCTGAGTACAGGAGTGTTACATCCTTGGTTAGGTTTAGTCCTAGGTATTTTATTCACTTAGAAGCAATTGTGAACAGTATGGTTTTCTTTCTTTTTTTTTTAAATTACTTTATTGTTGTTCAGTCACAGTTGTCTGGATTCCCCCCCCCCCAACCCACCTCCCTCCCTTGCTTCCACCCTCCCCCTTGGTTTTGTCCATGTGTCCTTTACAGTAGTTCCTGAAAACCTTTCTCTCCACAATCCCCTCCCCACACCCTTCTGGCTATTGTTAGATTGTTCTTAATTTCAATGTCTCTGGTTATATTTGTTTGCTTTTTTCTTTTGTTGATCATGTTCCAGTTAAAGGTGAAATCATATAGTATTTGTCCCTCACCGCCTGGCTTATTCCACTTAGCATACTGCTCTCCAGTCCCATCCATACTGTAGCAGAAGAAAATGATTAAGACTGAAAAAAAGTAGAAGATACAAATAAGTGAAAGGACATACCTTGTTCATGGATAAGATGAATTAACACAATTAAAATGTCCATACTACCCCAAACAATCTATAGGTTCAATACAATTTCTACAAAGATTCCAATGAACTAGAACAAATATTTCAAAAATGTATACGGAACCACAAAAGGCCCTGAACAGCAACAGCAATCCTGAGAAAGAAGAACAAAGTTGGGAGAATCATGCTAGCTAATATGAAACTATTCTACAAGACCATAGTAATCAAAACAGCATGGTACTGACATAAAAAAACCCTCACATAAACCAATGGAAGAGAGGAGAGAGCCCAGAAATAAACCCGCACCCTTTATAGTCAATCATGGACAGAGAAAGCAAGCACATACAATGGGCTAAAAATAGTCTATTCAATCAATGGTGGTGGGAAAATTGGACAGATATGTGCAGAAAAATAAAACTAGACCACCTTCTTATACTGCACTCAAGAATAAATTCAAAGTGGACCAAAGACATAAATGTTAAACAAAAAAGACATGAATGCTGGAAGTGAAGAGGCAGTAAGAATCAAGTCTTTGACTTCTGGCTCCAGTGGATATTTGGGCTGTGTGCTGAGATGAAGGAGGATGGGAATAGTATAGATTTGGAGGAGGATAAGAAAGGCAAAGAAGAGTCCCAGGAATGGAGTGCAAAAATTTTTACAAATATATGAAGTTTTTTAACTGTTAGGGACACAACCCCGCCTCTCACCCAATTCTTCACCAAGTTCTGAATGAGGAAAGCTGCGGGAGAGTTGTTTTGTAGTTGCTTTCACATCCTCTAATGACGTTTCATTCTTACAGACCATTTTCATCAAACTTTTTAAAGACAGTTTAGAGTAGCCCAATGAGAGGGGCAGTAACAGATAATCTATTTTTTTAAATCCACTCTGCACAGCAAGTAGGTAATGTAAAGGCCTAAGCAAGATTACCCAATATAACCAACGTTAGAATCTGGCACTCAAGGTGGCAGTATTTTTATTATGGCACTATGCCTTATTTGAACATTTTAGGAATGAAGACTTTACTAAAAGCATCCATAACCACAATTAAAAATGGAGCAATAATGGGATATTTTCCTCCTTTGCAACAGTGACAGAATAGTAGAGTGTGAGGATTCTCAGAAGTGCCTTGGCATAGAACATAGGTTTCTCCAGTTGGCTTCACCGGGTTCAAATCTAGGCCCAGTTTCTTATGAGAACTAAAACACACAGCCGGTCTTTAGGGTCTATGGGTTGTGTGGAAGGAGTCAGAGGTCATGAGGGTAACCTAGCATAGGACTAAGCAGATGTCAGGAGCCCAATGAACTATTTGTATTGTGCCCAGAAATGAAACTTGTCATAAGAAAAACCATCTGATTAAAACTGCAGCATTAAGATTCCTGCAGTAATATCTATCCAATAGTTGACACAATCAATGGTTTGTCTATAAACTATCAGAATCACTGATAGCAGCTGAAAATGCTCGGGAGATGTCAAACACACAGGAGCAGTTTTCTCAGAGCGCACTGACCTGACAAATGTAAGACACCCGTGTAGGCTTCAGGACCAAATTCTAATCTCCAAGGGCACAGTTGGCACCGCCCTATGGTGACTTGGGGCCAAGGAGATCAAGTCCAGTACCAATGAGTGTATGACGATGATCCCTTCAATCAGCAAATATTTAACTAGCACCAACTACCTGTGAGCTACTGTTTCAGGCACTTCAGTCAGCAAATCATGTGTTCTGAAGGAGCGTAAGTCGGTCAGCGGTCAGTGTGGGGGGGGGGCAAGGCACACCAACAAGTGCTGGAGCCTCCCACTTCCCTTTAGCGTGCCTTCCTGTGCCGTAGAAGCCAGACCATTAACAGCTCCGGGTTCCAGAGGCCCCTGCGGTGATGGTTCCAGGTATGACAGTCTCTTCTCACCAGATGAGCCCCTGCTGCCTCCCTCAAATCAAGCACTGTCAATCTAACTGTTGCATCCTTGTCAACAATCTGCCTCTTTGCTCTGGCTGTGTTGATGTTTCTGTTTTTGTGATTTCTCTAGGAAATATCTGGATGTGAGGATCTTTTTAAAACTTTTCCTGCTTTGGATTCAACTGAAATCCCAGAATATTTCCTCTTTCCCACTCTCTCTATTCTCTTCTTCTGAAATTCAAATTAGATTCATGTTGCCATTTTCCTGGAGAAGGAAATGTGGCCATACTTTAAGTATACATTGTTACCCACAAAATAGAGCACAGGTTCGATAGCCATCATTAATTCTGCGGCAGTCATTTTTATTCAAGATATTACTTTTAAACAACTTTTTAAATTAAATGTGATTGTTCTTATATCTTGAGACTAAACTGCTGGCTCTAAGATACTGAAAAAATTTTTTTGATTTATCTAATTGCCTACAAAGTTAAGATGTACCTATGTTTCTTCTAATAAAGAACTCAGACCTGAGAACATAGTTAAAAAATTGTTTAAATCACTTTTGTTCGCACTTCAGTAAAATGGTTGTTCACCACTCTGACATGTATTCTAAGACGCCTGCCTATGTTTTTTCCCTCTCTATGTGGGATGGTTGAACTTGAGCCCACAGGGCACCCGCTGGCCCCAGACCTCTTCGGTCCACACTTCTGTGCCTCCGATTCTTACGTGTCCAAAGACGAGGAGCCACAGACATGCCTTTGCAGGAGGGTCCGATGTTTGTATCTTTAAGATGGGAGAATATAAAAAATTTTCCTTCTGAGAGTTAAAATTATAGGAAAAAACAAAACAAAATAATACAAATGAAAATGAACAACTCTGTGTTCCCTGACCTTCCAAGTGTGAATCTAATGCCTTGAGAGACAGTCAGTCAATCATGCGTTAGACAGAATGGGAACGCCACACGTACAATTGTCTGACAGTGTAAACTGTGTCCAAGTTGGAAAGTTCCTCTAATGACATTTAGTTCAACCTTCTACCCAGAGAGGAGTCAGTCCTACAACTCTTCATAATTAGGAGTCCTCCTCTCCTGGATTTCTTCCACGGTTGTGTAAGTCTGTTCCACTTTGGGTGACTGTCATTTTAAAGCTTGGAGCTAATATTGAGCTAATGACCATTAGCTTGCATTGACCGAATACTATTCTTCAAGAGCTTTTTCTAAACCCTTTAAAATTGATTTCACTCTGGACACAGCAAATGAAAATAAAATGTAGCTTGGGGATTTCATTATAGAAGCTGCAACAAACAGAAGAGTAGTCAATATCTGAACCACTTACATATCAAAAAACAACAACACTCTAGGTCTTACAAATCATGATCAACAGCTAAACGTGAACGGTTATAGCGTGGGCTGTTACCTGCCCTCAACAGTGAGGGCAGCAAGTAAGTGAGTGAGAACACATGAACTTCCACTTGGGGTACTCAGAAAACATGCCAAGGAGACTGCTTTAATACAGGGTGGGGCAAAAGTAAGTTTATAGTTGTTTGTATGGAAAATGATACAACAACTAATAAATATTTACACAAGAATAAACTGTGTTTTATATACTCACAACTATAAACCTATTAACATGCTTAATTCTCTAACAGATTCTTCTTGCTTTCATATTTCCCCTTAATATGATCTACCCATCATACCATCACTAGACCTATCTTTCTGAAATCATTTGGCTATTATTTTCCTTGTAGTGTTATAATATGATGCAAGTGTTCTTCAGGACTTACTGTGTGATGGACAAAGGCTTAGCCAGGCATTTCAGGCTCTATGGCGTGGTCCCAGTACATGTTCCTCACACCTGCCTCTGCTCCTATGCTCAGACTTCTGTTCCAGGCAGGCTCACTCATGCAGAGCACTCCCTGCTCACCCACTCCCACAAACACAAAGATAAATCTACAAGTGTGTTCCATTGTATCCTGCCTCATCTAGCTCCTGGAATATTATCTATCTCCTCATTAGAAACCTGTTTGAACTCTCATTGTTCAAGATCCAGACTAAGTAGCACTTTTGGGGGATGCTCTTCAGTCATTCTGCTCCTACTGTTCAACATACTCTGAACAGCTGCAGGACCACAATACAATGAACCACCCACCATCCATTAACACACACCAATTTACACAGCAGCCATATTTCAGTGTGTGCATCTATAAGTTTTATCTATCTATTTATCTATCATCTACCTCTGTGTCTATCTATATATCGATCCAATTACCTATGTGTATGTGTTTGAATAAAAACACGCATATGTAAAAGCCTCATTTTGTCTATAAAAACCTTTGGAGCAGATATATGTCCTGCAGTAACCACTCTAAAAAAAGTCCCTCATGAACACCTATATGCTAGATTGCAGTCATCTGAAGCCAAAAGGCACAAAACAATAACAAAAACCACTCATAATGACTTATATGAAGATGGACCTGGTCTAGAAAATGGTCACATATCCAACATAAAGAATAAAGACAGTCACAATGAAAAATCTCATTCAGAGTAATGATGTCAATACAAGACCCAAATCCAGGTTGGGTCCATCAACAACAAATTTTCATTCGCCAGATAAAGCCTTGGCAAAGGTAACACAGGGCTGTTCTGTCCTGGGCCACTCCATCTTTCCTGTGCCTGGTGACCTCATCTGGAAAACGAAGGTGGTGAATAGGCTGATCTCACAAATCCCTTTCACCTCTGAGGACTTTTCGAATGGAAAACAAAAAAACAACTTTTATTAAGCATATGAAAGTTTGATTTCTCTGCAAAGCAGCTGACAGTGAGTGGAAAGTGGAAAGGCATCAATCACCTCCTCAGTGACTCATCTCCAACTCTCAGAACAACGACACTGCTGGGGAATTTATCCCTCTGATGCAGCCGGTGGCAGACCCATGGCTAACCTCCTCACAGGCTGGAGCTAGGTTCAAGGTCATTTCATCCCCTCCTCGGTTTCTCAGCTGGATTGTCATTTTAAATCTGTGCCCCAATGGAAAGGGTTTATTTTTGGTTTTCTTTCCTACTTGTCCCAAGAAGAGACACCTAGTAACCGGATATTGATATGACACTTTTGTTAATAATCATAACCTGAATCATTTGGAGGGCTCATTGGGGCCATCTAGTAAGCAGTGCACCAATTTTTAGACAAAGTGAAATGAAGATCTATCTACATGAAACCCTTATAACGCTAATGAAAGTTTCTTTTCACGTCTGCCTTCAGATACATTCTTTCAAAGTAATCATAATTGAGTGGTCAGTGAGAGTGTAAATAAGAATATGCTATCATGGAGTGCTAGGTAACGGAGCTCAAACTAAAGTAAACAAACGCTCTGGGCCACCACATATGCCAGCTAGCGAGGTCCCATAAATCACCACGACTGGGTATCAGGATTTCAAAGGCACCCTCTGGAGCTCTGTCGTCCAGGCGTGTTGGTTCAGGCTCCAGTTGCACTGTGTTGCTTATATGGCAGCATGTGAAGTTCACCTTTAAGTTTAAAAATAGTTCCAATTCCCATCCTTACTGCAGCTGGGCCATAGTACCTACTGTGCGTGTGCACCACACTATGTGCTTGACACAGTTTTCATTTAATTCTCATAATAATCATGTGAGATAGATTTTGTTAGTCCTGATTTACAGAGGAAACAGCAGCTCAGAGAGATTGAGGCAATTTAATTATCCAAGGTCAGGACTCTAGGGTGGGGTGGATTTATATTCAGAAGATAAATTGTCAAGCTCATTGGAATTGAGAAGATTTAACGCAGAATCAAGATAGAGGTTGGCATTTGTCATTTGCTATTCTGTTCCACTTTTCTCTTTTGGCATCTAATGATTACGCATGAAATACGACAGTGAATCAACTCACACTTACTTTGACACAGTCTTTCTTCCTCTGGTCCAGCTCATACCTTGCTGCCCCAGGCACTCACTCCCAGACAACAGGGTCCTCAGGGGACAGCCCAGCAGCTGCCTGTGACTGGGGCCCTGACTCACGGAAGCAACGGGGGGAGGAGGTGACACCAGCTATTGGTGTTCGAAGACTCGAACCCCAGAAATACATTCTGTGTGTAAACCTCCCCTCTCCAGTCAGACCTCCCACCTCCCTTATCTCCACAACCGACTGTCTTCCCCAGAACAGTCAGAGGGGATTTAGCGTTTTCTTCAAGGCTGTCCCAAAGGTTCATTCCGACCAGATTTCACCCTGTGGACCCTGAGGCAGACAGTGGGCAGGAACACGAACTGGTCAGTCTGCCTCCAGCCAAAGGCAGCCCTGACCCTAGGCCAGCCTCGTCAGACGCTCCTCCTCTCCCCACCCTTCCCCTTCCTCACCTCACTAATACCACTTTCTTTCCTTCCATTTTCATTTTTCACTCTAGCTACACGTCCATCTTCCCTCCGCATTCTACCCCTCCTCCCAGAAAACAGGCAACCCCGGAGTAACAGGCCATTTAAAAATCCCGACACCAGCTTAAACCTTCCGAGTTAATCCTTCCACAGCGTTGCCCCCGATTCCTGATCAAGCTTCATCCCATCAATTCTGCTCACCGGCCCTCCAAATCCTGTCAGCTGGGATCTGAGCTGCTTTCCAGTCAGCTGGTCTTCTCGTACCACTGACCCCATCGCCCTTCACTTTGTACCTGTGACCTGTTAACTGCCTATTGCCGCCCAACTTAACACGCGGTCCCACCACCACACTGTTCCTCGGAGCTAGGTCCCTTCTGCCCCTATGCCAACACGACACAGGGGACAAGGAAGGTTCAAAATAAGCTGCACTGTAGGGTTTCCCTCTAGGATTTATGTTTTGCTAAAACTGCTCTTGCAATTTTGGAACCTAGCGCTCAATACATCAAAAAATTGTCACTCACATTTTGAAAATGCAGCCTGAGAACAAACACTTGTTTTTCTCTCTCCCTGTCCTCCCCCTAGATGCTACATTTAGAAAAAGAATGACCTCTGCATGTATTAAGAAGCATATGTCAGGGGTGGGGGGGGGGAATGGGGAGAGCAATGGGGGGAAAATTGGGACAACTGTAACTGAACAATAACAAAAAGACTAAAAACGAAAAAATAGTGAAAAAAGAAGCACGTGGCTCTTGGACAAGTTTACTAGAGCATCAGCTAGTCAGTCATCTTTAAAAACGACAGAAATTGTTGTGGCGTGTAGTGTGTTGTTTGTGGGACCAAGTTGGAAATTTAGGGTTCGAAGTACGAGAAAACATCGGGATTCTACCTTCTATTAGAAAGTGAGGTGCATACTGGTGTCTTCCTGCCCAGCTGTCAAAGTCCGCTCGTCTGCATCACACGGATGATGTCAACATGCTGGAAAGTACGGCCAGGTCAGAAAGGAAGAAGGACTCGGGGACAAGGATGACAGTGTGGCGGGTGTTGTGGGGAGGAAGCAGAAGGGGACTAAATGAGAATGGGAAAAATACAATAGGGGCTAAATTAAAAAAAATAAGGCTAAGTCAACAAGTACTTTTTTCACTGAATTTTACTTTTCAGAGGATAATTGCTCTCATATAGACTGATTATTCAGTCTGTAATGATTGAGGTTTTTGTCCTTTTTGTCTCTTCCACTATGTACCCTTCTGTCATTTTATTGCTCATTTCCACTATACAGAAAAATTAAGATGTAGGCCCAACTAGTACCTTCCTATAAAGTATAGTAAGATGTATATTAATGAAATAGTTAATGTAAGTCAGCAAATATCCACTTAACTCCTAAATCTATGAAAGA